CCCCCCCCCCCCCCATCATCCCCCCTTGCGTGCATCCCAGCGCTCACACACACGCACACACACAAGAGTTCAATGAAACGAATGTTATTTACTCCGCTGCGCGCACGCGTTAAAGCAGTTTTATATAAAGCCTCGCTCTGCGTCGTCCATAAACGCGCTCGAATCACGTAAGAATATTTACATACACACGCAAATATATAAACAGAAAAATATATTTCCATTTCGTGTAACGAGTGCCAGCCTCGGCCCACCTGTATGCCGTATACTCATTTTCTTGGTTCAACGAGCATTCCATAACCATAGTATATACGCGAGCTTGTAATAATTAACGTCGCGCCCGCTTGGCAACTTACTGACTCGACGACGACGAAAAAAGAGAGAGAAAAAAAATTATAAAAACACCCTCCTCTTTTTCTCTCTCTCTCCTTCTTCCCTTTTATTTTTCTTCGTTTTGTTTCTCATTCGACGCGAAAAAGCTTTTAAAATAAGTTTTTTTTTCGCACTGCTCGCTCTCTTCGCTTCTTATATACACGCGCGTGTACACACATACACGCACACACACACACGTAAATACATGGCACGCATACACGTCGTATTCACGCATAGTTGTATTATGTTCGCATCAATGTATACGCTACTCGGGCATATATAGCATACAGAATCTCTTCGCCGATCTCTTTTTCTCTAAGTGCCTTTTCACCCTTTATGCTCTCGCGCTTCGATGTCATTTTTTAACCCACCTTCTCTCTCTCTCTCTCTCCTCCTACACCCGTCTTTTTTCAACACCATATGACGCAGCGTTTATATTGTGCGACGTTTTTGCAAGCTCGTTGTTGAATTTTCTCACCCGCACGCATAATAAATCTGATTTTTAATTTCTTAACTTATCGAAACGTGCCACTTTTTTTTATTCAAGATCGAGCTTGCTCGTCTTCTCAAAATTGTTCAACGGCAAAAAAAGCTCCGACTCTCGACGACGAGAATTTCCTTTTTCCCTCGCAAAACGAGGAGAATAATAATCGTAACGCCGCCGGGTCGTTAGTTGCATTATGTACGGCGAAGAAAATAATATTTCGTCAGATTTATGATGTACCGACGACTACAGCGACGAGAAATATAAAGAATAAAAGTTGATAACGCGTTAAACTTTATCTCGAAGAACGTCATTATGCTACTTTGCTTCGTTTTTCCTTCTCTCTCTCTTTACGACGAGGAAAAGAAAGAATAATAAAAGCGTGTAAAATTAGTGCTTTTTACGTTGCGAAAGGGAGATAGAAAACGAAGGAAAATTGCAAATGTACGACGATCACAGCTCCACCGTGTCTCGATGTTAAAAATATCATACACGATGATCGCAAACGTATAAATTGCAGTAAATAAGTGACAAACCGGGGGTGTGATTTATGCGCGCGCTGTTATAATTTATGCTCGCGATATTAGATTTCTGCTTTTAGGCAATCGTATACCGCTACGCATAATATGTATAACTCGCGGCGTGATTTATTGCGCGCGTCGTGTTTTCGGCGTACGCCGCGAGTATAAGCCATACACACGCACGCATCAGCAGACACGCGGGTGAAATTACTATGATTAATCCATCGGCTTTGATTGAATTAAGAATTAAGAGAACTATAGCGTGCGAGAACGAGCCACGAAGCTAATACACGACGTATGCGCGAGAACGAAACAAAAGGATTACCCATTCAAGAACTGGGATTAACAATATAAGGGTCGTATACAATATGCGTATGCTCCAGTTTTGAACGAAATCGTAATAATAACGATCGAGCTAAAAATGAATCTCGACCGCGACACTACGACGCTGACGATGCAGCTTTTATGCATCATCGTTGCGCGCAGCAGCGGTTTACGGTTGATATATATATTTTTTTTTTGTATTCATCGCGCACATCGAGAATATAATTTATAATACAGAGGGGAGTATATACAGCGCGGAGATGGAAGGCGCATCTAATGAAATCCGAAGCGTGAAAAACGAGCCCGCATAAACGTTTGACGGTTTAAGTACTCGGAAAATCGTTAATGTCGTCGCGCGTCTTCGAGAGAGATCCGATCACAGGTCGATCGTAAACGGGAGATCTCTCCTTATCTTTTTTTTTGTCGTGAATTTTTATCTACGTACGTGTATATGTACCACTGCGAAATGAGTTCTTTTGTTCTTTAGTGCGCGAAATAACCGCGAGCGGCAACGATACACGCGTCACGCTCCACATCCGAGCGGCCCAGAGAGAGAGATCACGTAATAAATGCCTGTCACGCTTATAAATATACGATTGTAAAGTGGGTCTCTCTCCTTTTTTTTTGTCTTTTTTTCGGAGGAGGCTTTGCAGAGAGGATTTATGTAAGGGGCGCGCAGAGCCACCACGATCCGCGCGTAAAATTGCACAGATAATTTTCCTTCTTTTTTTTTGTACGCTTTTCGGCTGAATGATTTCGCTGTGTTCATAACTCTCTTAATCGGAGTCAATCGTATATTATCATGAAATTTCGTGTCATTTCTCTCTCTCCACCCCCCCCCCTTTTTTTTTGTTTCAGTACAAAGAGACACGAGCTGAATTCGCGAGTGTGTCTCTATCCATTAAATTGCGTCGAGCACTGAGCTACGGGAAAATTTTACGACTCGCTCACGCGCGCATTCGAGCTTTACGTTGTTTACGCGCGCGTCCGCGCTCGAAGAGCGAAATACAGACGGTATATAAAACGAAAAGGATTCCTCGCGGCGCGAAACGTATACGTGTTGTTCTTCGCGCAAAAATCTCTTTGGATGCTAATTTATACTTTGGGGAATAGCCGTATAAAAAAAAAAATAACGAAAAGAAGAAGAGAAGACGTATAAAATATTTCGTCGACGCGGCACGCGCGCAACGTATGTTAAACTGGACATTCGATGGGTCTACTAATCTTTGTCATTTCCGAAAAATCGTTTTTTGTGTATGTACTGCATTTTTGAAATGTTTATACATTAGCATCTCGTAGAGATATCCTCTCACGATTTTTATTCAAGTTTAAGCTGTGAATCCGAAGCTGCTCAAGTACGCGGTTTCGATTCTATCAAATAAATAAATAAATAAACAGATTAGATTCATTTAATTTTCAATGATTAGGTTAATTTAGGTCGTCGCGTAATTTAGGTAATGATTAGGTTAATAAATTTTCAATTTTTTCACTGGTGATACCATTTTTTTGAATATAATAATTATAAGAACTCTTGTGATTTGTGTCTACAAGTAATGAATTATTTAATTTTATTATATTATTATTTTATTTATTATATTAATTTTTTCATAATTTTCAGAAAATTCTTGTGATAGCTTTGAAGCTCTAGTTAACAAGGTGGCCTCACCTCCGGCATTTCAACTAGCGTATCATCCACGCAGTTGCCTTCAAACGGGCAGTCAATCGCTTTTAAGTCTAAGCCCAGACAAATACGTATCTCTCGGATGTACTGTTTTTTTTTAAATCCATTATGCTGTAATTCGAGCAAAGAAGTATGAAAATCAGTATTAAATAGTAAGCTTCATCTCTTTTACGAACCATTCTATAACAGGCGATGTACGGAGTTTTTCCCAGATTCGTTTTTAGAATGAACTTAAATTGTTCTAGCGGATACTCATAACCCGGATTGATATCGTTCCTAAAATACTTCCAGGGTTGATATTCGTCTAAAAGTTCTACGGTTTTTCCGAAGTACGTTACCGCGTTGTGCATGTCTTCTCTGTCAATTGAACAACGGCCATGTTTGTTATATTCATCTCTTCGGAATTCGTTGTGAGGTGTGTAACTGTACGAAAGCCACTTTTCGTTTAGTTCACGCTCCAATTTTTTATTTTGTTTCAAATAAGACGCGACATCATCTTCCGTTATTTTTTTACCAAGTTTTCGAGGGTCGTCGCCTGTTTTTTTGTGTGGCCACAACCCGTGAATTGTCCAATTTGTCAATGTTGGTATTTCACATTCGGAGCACTTCTTATTGATCGCTTTCAGCAGGTCTTCTGTTTTTTTGTGTTTTTCGAACCAACAGATGGTCTGAGGCCACATTAACGCTAAACGGAAGGAGTCGTAATTTCTGACCACATTCCCTACCTTGAAAATATCTTTCAACTTTTCAAGGAAGTCCTTATTTTTGTTACTTTGCAACAAAAGTATTTTAAGAGTTATTATTGATGAAATCTTATGAAGTTTTATCGTACTTACATTATTTCTCGACTTTGACAAGTGAAAAATACATCGCCGATGATTATGAAGATGAAAATTGCAACTGAATAGTGAACTATCATCGTTATTACTTTTCAAAAGTACTGCTAAAATTGAAAGGGGCACATATACACCTTAAAATTCGATTCATTTTTCATTTTAGAACGGATTTTGCTTCTACTTCACACTGCATTTTTTTAACTACAAATTTTCGCGTTTTTGGTAAACCTTTTTTTTTTAATGAGTTAAATTGCCATATATTTTAGAGTAAACCGTTTGAGCCATCGTGCAAAATTATGCTAAAGTGTTTTTGCAGAGTAACCTACGGTTCCAATCACCTCAGCCAAGGTCTCGATCGTAACCATTGATGTTCCACAGAAGTTTACGCCACCCGGGCCGTGTGCAGCTCAATCGGTTCACTCTAAAACTTACGGTAAAACGCAAAAGAAGAAATAATTCAATTTGAAGTAATTTCAGTGGAAAATCAAAATTTAGAAATTTAAAAAAATGCAATGCCAAGAAAAAAATCTCACTCAAAAATGAAATGAAGAAAAATTCAATTCCAAGGTGTGCGAGTCGCCTTAATACAACTTGAATATTGAACTTAATAAGATCGAAACTTGCTAATAATATCAGAATATTTTACTCAAGTGCATTTATAAGCTAATATTTTATTGTAAACGTGACTTTTTTATAAAAGTTGTACGTCATTCGGAGAACATAAAAATATTAAAACTATAATTGTTAGTTTTTCTACATTTTTTCCTCAAAAAATATTCCGTTGAAGTAGAAAAAAAATTATTTTTTGCATAATTTGATGATTGAAAACTTTCATAACTAGAATAAAATTTACAGTAACGTAATCACCATCGAATTTATTTTATAATTCCTTTCATGCGTATTTTTTCCACTTACTGTTAACTTCAGTTTATTCCAATTTGTTTCTTGTTTTCGAAATAAAAACGTTTTACTTCTGATTGCTGCCCCTCGACGATTATGTTATTACATGTTTGTCATTCAAAATGGCATTGCATATACAATAGACTCGAAATTTTCGAAATCTTGGCCCTTGCATTATTATTGTACTCGATTTATACGGCAGTATAATTATACGTGCACGATTCTCAATTTTCCTCATTCGTTACACGAAATACCATTTTATGACACTCACTAACACGATTACTTTATTTAGACTTTATTTCCTACGGTATGAGAGCTTTAGACAATGTTGGAGAATTACTCGTGGAAAATCGGCGAAAATAGGTATTGGCAATTGTAGACAAGATTTAGACATCTGTCGTCGGGCTCTAAAGCGTTTTGTTATTGTTTGTAGGCCATAAACTAGTAGTCTAATGGTCTGGAGCAAGGGATTATGTTAAAAAGATTTTTGCAACTCAAATTTATTAGTGCGGTTCTTGCGCTATATGAAGGCGATATATAGTCGTTTGTGCGAGCTCACAGCTTTACGAGCTGTTGAAGAGATATCAGAAGTTTAGCCAAGCCACGTGAGACCAACTTGGATTTTGAATAAAAAAAAAATCGATGGTTTCTTCTTTTTATTACCATGCGCAGTGAGTAAAAAAATAAAAAATGGTAACGTCTTCGATAACAAGATTTATGCCTGCGTAATATACTAATATAGAAAAAAAATAATCTGAGACTGACCTGGCAAACAGCTGACGGCTTTCTCCTCGTCCGAGCACTTTTGCGTCAGCCAGAGATAATCGAACCACTTGATGACCTTGACTTGCAGATGATTCGGCACGCGCCTCATTCTCATGTAGGTCTTGACGCCGTCGAGTTTGGCTGCAACAGAGTAAAAGGAGAAAGAGAGAGATAAGTACGAATTCCAGGTCGTTAGTCAAATCCGCGCTTCATTGAACGATCATCGTCACACGGACACATACGTAAATCGCTGAATAATCGTCGAGTAATAAAAGCTTCGTCTCCCTTATTTTTTTTTTTTTTTTGCTCTCGCGCAAACTTAGTTCCGCGGAAATTTCCGACGAACGAAAAAGAAAAAACGAGAGCCAGCGACCAAAGAGAGGACGCAGCGATGCGATTAAAGCGTTATATTTCGCTTTATATGTATTATATTATACACGTATATACTGGGCGGGCTTTCAAGCGCGCACAGCTCGAGCTTCGCTTGGGTATAATCCATCATAATCCCCTTTTTTTCCATGTATATATACGAGGGATATTTTATACATATATGTATACGCGTGTGCAGGAGAGCGATGGGTACCATAAAGGCCCCCCGAACGATAAGGTGCAACGCGCGTGATTTAATAAATTATTCTCCGCAAACGACTCGCGTATACGGTTTTATGTGATACGCGTCGAGCTGGATGCGGCGCTGCTGCGATCGACGCGCGTGGGCATCGCCGCGTAAAGGCGACCTATACCCTTTTGTATTTATATATCGATTTCACCTTTGTAATAAAAAAAAAAAACAGACTATATAAGCCGCTGAAAAGTGACGGGCAATTCATCTTAAAATTACGCTTATATCGCAACGGTAAAGTTGCCGGCCGATTTTCAATGAATATTTACGCATGAACTTTCAACTCGGGTTAACGCACGAGTGCGAGCGCGGCGTATGCTCTCATCGACGTAAAAGGGTATTTCCGCGATCGAGAAAACACTCGAATACAAGAGGAAAAGGGGGCAGGGGGCGGGGAATAAAAACGTCTTGCGTTTCATGGGCTACTTAGCAGGAGTTTCCATTATTTTTATTAGTCTTAATAGCGATGCGCATATCGACGCTGTTAAGGAAGAGTAGCACGTTTCTATACATTTTTAAATGTAAACGTGCTAGTCTTCCTTAACAGCGTCGATATAGACACGAGTGTACATACATTTTATTGCGCGCACATCTAGGATAGCCGTTACACTCGCAGCTATCTACGTAAGTATGAGACTCGTTTCATTTTTTTCTCTTAAGATAAATAATCTAAAAATTTATATCCCTAACGCTCGTTACTGTAAAGATCCGTAGGCAATTAACTACGCTATTTTACCGCGGCGAATAATTCTTGATATCCGTATTATATAGCTCGCTCTCTTTATATTACGGATCGAGATCTCGAGTAAAGGCAAAAAATGATTTGTACACGGACGCGCGTAAGAGCGCGCGAGCTCAGGCAAATGGTGTTTGCGTACGACCCACGAGCAAACACTTATATCCATCAATTTTTATGATTTTTTTTTCCACGCTCGATCGTTTGTATTTATGCTATATAACGCGTATACCCGCGTGTGTGCACGAGTGTACTCGTAAAAAAAAACTGCGCGCAGTGACAACCGGACTATCGCGCGCGGCGCTACTATTTATTATTTTTATTTTTTTTTTGTCGTCTTTCACGGTGAAAACTCGCTGCGCGCGTAACAATATGGGTTGATTCGCGCGCGTCTGTATACGTATGCGCACGCACGATCGCGCCTCGCGGAGTTTTTAATTTCGTCAAACAATCAAATGCGCTTTATCGATACAATATACGCCCATCAGCGCGTGTCACGTTTACAGACGCGCGCGCCCGGGCGCGATTATTAAATATCCCTTTTTCCATTCATTGCAGAGAGAGAGAGACGGACACGGACGAATTTTTTTATTTTTGGCTTTTTCTTTTCATATATATTTTCCAAAAAACATAGCCATTAGTCTTGCGAAATATACGCGCGCGTCAAAAGTTTTTGATTTTTTTTTTTTTTTTTTTTAATANTTTTTTTTTTTTTTTTTTGTAATAACGGCACGGCGCTTATTATCCTCCCCGGTGGCCACCACACGCATCGCGAGCGGACAAAAAAGTTTTTCACCGCGCCTGAAAACGGGGGGAATAAAGCCCCTGGGCCGACTCGGCATCGGCAGCAGTGGAAGCTGGAGCTAGATTTAATCCTATTAGCCGCTTGGCGCGCGCAGCGAAGCTGTCAAAAAATCCATATCCTATTTTTCAAAGCTTCGACGCGGCTCGCGCGCATTTACGATTCCATTCCGCGAATGTAATATATAGGTAGCTCAATCAATCTTATGACGTTTCGCAGATCGTCGGCGGCGATGCTTGTATGTATACCGAGATCGAACTAAGATCGAACAGCGAGAATAATTAATTATGAGTTGCACATTGGGCGCGACGCGTAGTACGTCGCGTCGTGACGATATATACGACAAAACAACAAAACATATTTGTATGTACGCTCACTTTGGTCGTTACAAATGATGTGTATGCAACAAAAGGAAGCTCGTATACAAGGTGCGTGAAAAGGCTTCATTTTCTATCGCATATCGATACGCATCGACGAAGAGGAAACGTGTCCATCGAGTCAAGTGAATACATTGCGCTATTTTGCTCTCTTTTTCGGCTCCTTCGCCACCGGAACTTTTGGGGTAAACGATTCGCCCACATATAGAGCATGGATCAATGAGAAAAAAATAACAAGACACGCGCCCTGTTTGCCCGATGCGCGGCGCACACTTCTCTGCGAGGCGTGCGTGTGCATGTGCCACGATGCGACAAAAAAAAAACGAGGCAACATGCTGCTGCGCAGCGGAACACAGAGTCGGGCAAAAAAAAAGTAAAAAAGTAAAAAAAAGTATGCATATAAAATGGTACATAAGCGAAGGCAGTTGGAATATATTTATATATTTTTTCGTACGTGTGTGCGAACGCGTGTGTTCCGCAGCGATACGGAAATCGATCCTCTTGCATACACAATCGACGGGTGAATGGTTGACGATCGGATGAATGTGTGCATGCCTCGATATATACTGTGTATTGTACAGATGCCAGGCGGGGGCGTAGATTTTTCTTTTCGAATCGATTAGACAATGAGCGTCGTTAGGAGATCGACCTACGTATGCAAAGTCATATGTTTTTCGCAAGTGAGAAACGTTGGATTTACTATTGATTTTCGGTAACTTTTACGAAAAAATGTTAGTACAGATGCAACGTTAAACAAAAGTGAAGAGTAAACTAGAGTTTAGAGAAAAAAAATATATTATTACAATAAGTAATAATGAGTAATTGCTTACTGAGTTTATTTTAATAATGTTAATACCCTATGTGGTCAATCAAAAATCTTGTAGATGAATTTTTTCAGGAAATTTTAGATCGTACGTATGTTTGGATGTCAATTGTCAGACGAAACATTAGTTAAGTTGAATAAAATAATTAGAAAAGTTCTTTTTCTGGGTGTTTCAATTTCATAAGATAGCCCCATTAATGCGCTCATTGGTATCGAACTTCGGATTCAACCGCTAGATGTCACAATTGATTCTGAACGCAAAAAAATAAAGTTTGGTACATATATTCCACGAAAATTGTGTGGGTACTTATCAGCCCGCATCTGTAATCTGAACGTATAAGAAAAACAGGTGTAGGCTCAAGTCCAATGACATGGGCTCTTATGGACCACAAATTGTTATCATCCCAGGTATAGCGGCTACATTTTTCGGATGATTTCCCAACCGATTTTCACAAGAGGACGAAAATCGTCCAAATGATACCCATCATAACGCGTCATAATAGCATTAAAAATAGATACCATTTACACGTTTTCCTTCTTCTCGTTAACTCAAAAAAATCACGCAAAAAAAAATATTTATATCCAGTGCCATCGTCGATTTTAACTATTTCACGAAACGCACGAGCCTCTACACACACACAGGCGAGCGAATCGCTCTTCAAACAAAAATATTAAAACGTTTTCGCGCGCGCTCGCACGAGACAATAATAACCACGCGCCGCGTGCGGACGACTGTATTTGTCGTTTAAAATAGCTCGTGCACGCGTGCCCGCGTTGTAATAGTAGTACGGTGCACGACGGCGGCCACTATAACGCGCCGCGGAGCTATTACTGTACTACTGCACTGCACGTGAGCGGGGCACGGCTTTTAATGGTCGCGCGGGGAGAGGTTCACTACTGCCGCTGCCGCTGCTGCACGCAGCAGTGAATCTTCAAACTTTACAGTCGCGTGCATTATTATTGTGCCGTGCGTGCGGCCGCGTAGAGGTGTAGTATCGCTTCGCGATTGCGCCCGCACACTCGCAGCTTTATATCGTGCCCATATAGATGTATTACGGCTCACGCTGCAGCGCAAATTTTATTGGTATAAATTCGAGTACTGCCCGCGGTGCGCTTACGCGAGTCCAAAGTGCCAATCGCTCGGCTGCTGTTACATATAAATGTTTGAATCGCGAAACTTAATTGTGTATACACCGCGCGTGAACCCTTTGCCATGAGTATCGTACGTAAAACGTGAAAGGTTTTTGCTTTGTACATTTGAATTTGCGCTTACACCAGCTCGTTTGCGCGATCATCGCCCAAGTTTCAATCGACCTACGTAAATGATATATACACGAGCTTTGGAGCTTTCAGCGTTTTCAATGGCCTATACACGCGTGGCGATTTTCTATTACCATTAAGCGATTTTGTGCACACGGGTCAATATTAGACCAGCTCCTTGATGAGTGCGGGATAAAATCGATTTCTCTCGAAACCCGTGTCGGACTCCGGCGCAGTAACTTCTCTTATATATTCTCCCTTACTACTCTCATCCTCCTGCTTCCTTTCTTTTCTTTCCTTTTCTCGGTGCGCGCGTCGCGCTTGGGGGAATTAAGCCGTTCTCCGGTCAATCTACTCGAAGAATCTACAACGAGAGAAGAGAGAGAGAGAAATGAGAATCGGCGATTTATACGCTCGTGTATATCTATATATACCGCCGTACTGCAGTCGCGCAGTATAAAGAGAAGAAGAGCCGTCGCGTCGACACGACGAGTAAAGCTGTAAGGAGAGCCTTGCGGGCG